ACATGCTGTCACTTCCGTCTTCAGCGGCAGCTAGCTCTCTGCATAATTTTTATTCTCCATGACAACTCAATAGACACGATGAGCCCGCGGCGACTCAAATGATAGTCACGCTAGTGCCAACTGACTAAGGGTAGTGGTGTGGTGGATGAGATGCACAAGGACCCCAGGAGACTGGAGGACAGAGCTTCGGCGAAGCCTGCAACGCGTGACTCCATTCCGGATGCAGACGCGTATCCAACCAGACAGTTCAACATTGCCGACAGGCAGAACTTTTAGCCTGTTCATTTTTGTCAGCCCAGTTAGTGATGTTGCACTTTGCAGACTAGCACGGTGTGTTGCGGGGTAACGGACCGGCCCATGTGGGCGTCTCAGGCTTATCCCATCCTTGAGGAACTAAGGAGTCGGCAATGTCGGCGGATGAATGCACTCGCCCAGCTGGTTTTCAAAGATAAGATTGGTGTAGTCTGGAACGTCAAGTCCACGTGTGGGTGAGTATTCTGTAGACAGCACTTAAGGTCTGGTCAGACGCATCCGGAATGTTAACGGCAGCCCTAGCCCCGAACGGGAGGCTGGCAAGGGGTCTTCGCCTCGCAAAAATTACGCCTGATCTGACGGTTGGGTCACCTGTCTGACAAGGCGGCTTGCGGAGCTGAGAGCCACATCCGGCTGCGATCCGTTATCACGGCACTTGTTGCAGCAGCTATCGGTCAATGCTTGTACCCGTTAAGCGCTCGCGATCAGGAATGGCCAGACCGGGTGGTGAGTCTACAGCCGACCCGAACCTGCGACTTTGTGATTGATTGGCACAACGGTCATCGCATTCGGCATGCTTTGCAGTGACATCAAGGTCAAGTCTAGTGGTTCTTTTCGAATGTGATAACGAAAGCCCATAACAACGTTCGTCGGCAATCTCGTATGACGCCATTCAGCGTCGTGCTAAACATTGGGAGCTTTCCTATCTAAACGCATCTTTCCAAGTTGGTAACCTGAAGTGAACCCATGATCCACTGGTGCTACGAGTGCTGGGCAATCACATCATCCGTCAGCATGCATGTTTCTCCATGTATCCTTTGGAAGAAATGGCTTATGATCACAGCAGATCGACTCAGCCAGCCACGGTGAAGGTTGAGTGAAGCAGATCGCGCAAACCTCGCGGTTGGGCACTAACGAGCCGCTACGCCTTCTCCGGCAGGATCGCAAACGTCTACGAGAATGGATGCTTTACGTTTGACGGCTCGGAAGAGCGGATGAAAATGTATACTGCTGAGAATACGTGCACATGAAGGTACTGTACCCCATACCTACCAGATATTTAGCCTTCAAAAGAAAGTCGGGGCTGGAAGGGAGAGGATGAGGGTGACGAAACAAGACGGGCGTCTAGACTGAGTTTCAGTCAGCCTCAATAGTTTCATTTCCAATGGCCACGTACGGTACCTCTGACATTCGCCCTCTAATAAACCTTGATACAAATGATACCTTATTCGCAAGCACTGCGGCAAGCGTAGACACAGCCTGGACATTGACAATAGTTGAGATAGTTAAACGTCATTTTGAAAGAGAACCACTATGTTTCCCATGCTATGCAGAGGGACTGCTCTTCCAATGTGCTTTTAAGTAAGTGGTCAATGTTGTTTGTCATTTCAACGGTCATAATTGTCTCGTCATCGTTAAAATTGTCGTTCGCGCCTCTGTCGTGGTGAATACTTATATTGTCCCCATTTGCACCATTGCATTCTTTACTATTAACGTGTTCAACCGAAGGAATTAAGCACAGGAAACATCAACGCGCAACGACAGAAAAGTAAGGTAAAAGCTCCTCCAACGTGAGATAACTGGCGCTGTCAGTTCGCAAGCACAAGATAAGTATCCACCTGATTTGGCGGTTGGTGGCCTTCCTGCATAGAATGCATGGCAATGCTTGATTCTCGTCTACAATGTCTTACCAATCATTGGATCATAAAAAGAAGACTTCGACTTTCCACATTCAGCCATTTAATGCCAACATGGGGTGTCGTTTCGTGGCACAGCATTGACCGGCGTTAGTGAAGGGTGGAACGCTAGAGAGTCTTTCAGCACTCGCCCCGGCCCAGAGCATGCAGGTTTACGTGGTCACTAAACACCCGTACTCTTTAATAACAAGTACTCACAGTTCAAAAGTCAGTCAAATCTAGTCTAACACAGGACGTGCCGCGTATGCGTCAATCTAGACGAAAATGGATCTCTGAGCTGTGGTATTCTCACACATCATTGCTTCACAATAGGCGTGTGTCTTTGTTCATCTCGCATACGCTAAGGCGAGTCCAAGCCAGATTTGGGATTGAGCAAGACAACGCAAATTTTCTGACCACCAACTCGCCCATTTCAACCAATCAAAAGCAACAAGTATCATAACGTAGCATTGATGTTTCAATTGCGCCGGCAGGGCCAAGACACTTCCTCCAGTTGACATTGTAGGTGTCTAAAGCCCAAAGTGCGCATGTAAAAGCAAGTGTTGGGTTCAAGGCATATGCCTGGGCCAGGCTCTTTTTCTCAGCCGTTGTACACAACTAAAGCGCACTTGCATTGCCAATTGTCTTGCTGCGAACTTCCCAGCAAAATTTAATTTATCTTAAAGCTCAATCTTGATTAGGCCCCGATCTATCGCACTCACGATGAAGCCTACCACCATCTTCCAACCCATTCCTATTGGCTCATCAGCGGCGGTCGTCAGCTGTGCCCCACTGGTAAATGAGGTAGCCAGGTGCCCAGAGTGTTATTGGAAGGGCGTACCCGAAACAGGGGACTCAACTCTTGTTGCCTGTGAACAATACGTGTGATTCTACTTGATAAGCAGCTTCTGTAAGCATATTGACTTATCATGCCAACGGCTTAAATGTGTATAGTTGTTCAATATGGTAAAAGCGACACTGCTTCAGCCAGCTCGGGAAAGCCATAGCCTTCTAGAGAGGCCCTGGGGCATGGAATCTATCACGAAAGAGCCTTGGCATATCACCCGAGATCTTTTTCTTAGTGTTTTAAGGGATGCGATCATTCTTTGGTCATGAATATATGATGACATACGTGGCTTATCTCTAGACATTTTAAACCATTCACACGCTACGCGAAGTAATGCGCAAAGCTATTCCAAGTCACAATGATACATATCGTAGGGGATCCAGGCATTCTACCGCACCGCTACACGACATCAACCGATGTGGGCGATGGATGAGACGCTAGGGAATTATTTCGCACTTGTTCCATCTCGAAGCGTTGAAGTTTTAGTGTTTTGCCTGTACACATGCTCCTTCGCAAAGCTGAATAAATCTGTATGCCTAGTCAAGCCAGCTTCGGGGTTGAGCAGGGCTGCGCGTGCCTGTCTGACCACCACCTCACTAATGCTTCAACCAATCATGAACAATTGCTGGGAAAACATAGCCTTCATTTTTCAACTGTTCACAGCCCCGGGATAGATTTCAAGACTAATTCTGGTCATGCATCAGATAGACTACTTTGTCTCCTTGGCCCGCAGTCTTCGTGCAACATTCCAACAGCATGCTGGAACGCCGTAGTAGATTTGACTATAAAAGCCTCAAGGTCCCTGATTTATGTTGCTCTCTCTATCAATCGCACGCTTTCTGATAAACTTACATTGCGCTGAAACTCGTTCTCATCCAGCTCCAGTCCTATCAATTTAACGATGAAGCCAACCGCCATCATCCAGATCATCGTCGCTGCTTCAGCTGTAGCGCACGTCAGCTGCGTCCCATGGAAGAAGAACCCGTTTCCTCGTGATGAACGGTCTGCATTTGCCGAGACTGAGGGGGGCGAACCAAACCTAGTCCTAGCCCCTCGCTGGGGATGGCGCAGAGATTTTGATCAGTTATGGGGACGATGGCTTAACTTCACACTGGCGGCCGTGACTCCTGTCACCGAAGAACCTCAACGTGAGTGAGACAATGTTCGGTGTGCAAATCCTATAATCACGCCAACTATGGTGACGGGCTTACCTGCAGCTGCCGCACGCGACGAAAGTGACGCGGCTTCGGGCAATCCAGCAGAGACTCAACCACCCGAAGTATTCCAAGCCATGCAAACTGCCACAATAGAGCGTCGTTCCTCAGCCGTACGAACCGCCACAATAGACTAGGGTTCTAGCGTTGCCCTAAAGGCTGCAGGAGCACCAGTGCCGGGTCAGCGTTTACTGGCGCCTGCAGATGTGGAAGGGGCAAAGAAAGAACTCGGAGAAGAAGTACACCAACAAATATGAACGGCTGCATCACTCTTTAGCAACCCAACCCGCTCATTTTCGAACGAGGATGCTTTATTTTCAAGATGAAATACCCATGTATGTTGGCATGCATGACTGTTAACATACTGGTCGACCATACACACATTCCGATAAATAATGCACCAGACATTTGCAAATATACGATGCGTCGGAATTGTCATTGCCGAATTCTTTTCAGCTGCAAATTGCACGACACTGATATCAAGTGATCCTTTTGACCCGTCCTCCGAAAGCATCCTGCGTAAGCTCTACGAGCGGGCAGTTATGCGGGCCCGGCCCCACATTGGTCCCGGGTTTACCGAAGTCCTCTGGTGGAGACCTCCGGGTCCGGTTAAGCCATCGGGTGGGTTATTCCCGAGGGCGCCACCAGTTCGCCACCCGTTAAGCCTTCCCTTGCTAATCCATTGTCCACTCACGCCGAGTCAGGCGCGCTTTGCTTCCTGTCGCAGTAAACCGGTCGTATGTGATGACGCTTGGCGGGGAACATGCCGAGTCAATGTGGGGTCCCGCTGTTGACTCGCAGGCCTGGGCTGCGGATAGGTTGGTCATCACTTGGCACATATCGCATCGTGAAGTGGATTGTTGTGCGTGTGCATTTGTGTATATAACTCGACGCCATGGCGACTGAAAATAGAATAATTCGATCAACTCGTCAAGATACAGCCATCGAAGACATTGAATTTCAATAAGAACGACTTTGAATCACTCACCTCGGCGCGACCTGCACGCAACTATGTCAACTACGTATGAAACATCTCAACCTTAGCTTACAGCTCAACTCAGTAAATTCTAACCATTCAATCAGACCCGAAGCCCAGTTCTTGGAACTTTCCAAAGCCGAAGGTCCCGTCCAAGAAGCCGACGTCGCCGACGTCTTCGACCAACTCAAGCCCGTCTCGCCAAACCAGCTGATCGGCCAGTGGGAGGGAGGAAGTTTCGACACCGGCCATCCGACGCATCAACAGCTTCGCACCTTCAAGTGGGCTGGAAAGGACTTTCGCTCCGTGGACGACGTTGATCCCATCATGGTATATGGTGATGAGGGCAAGCGTACCTGGTTGTCAGACTACGGCCATGCTCGGGTGAGTAACAACGCCGGTGATCGTGGCTTGATGTGTGGTTAATATTGTGCTAGATTCGGGAAGTCAAGTACCGCGGCGTCGTCACGGCTGCCATGGTGTATGATAAGTTTCCGATCATCGACGCTTTCCGTTATGTGGATGAGAATACTGTCATCGGGGCGATGGATACCAAAGACTTGAAGGATGCTGGGACTTACTACTTTTATCTCAAGAGGAGACCCGATAGCAGGGCCTAACATCTTAAGATGTGAACTGGTGGCCGTTGTGCATAGTGCTACATAAAGACTTCACTCTCGATCAGCCCTCATGGTGGTATTGAGTGTGACAGACTCCAAGCCTTAATCATTGCCACAACTCAAGTAGACAAGCCACAAAACGACCCGTCCTGCCGAGGTCGCCGGACCTCATATCCCGCCGTGTCCCCGCTTCGATGCACATGCACAGACGGCTCAGCCCGCGCCCGCGTCGCCAGCATTTTCCCCGCATTTCGGCGCGAACCCACCCTCCAACCACGTATGACGTTCGATCCATCTACCCGGGAAGTCTTTTGCATAACAAACCTATGTTCTCTCCACCCCGATTCCTCCCCATTGTCCAACTACTAGCAAGGCCTTACACCAAATTCTCCGAGAACCATGGCTAGCACGCCGGGAACCGCCCCGACCCCCGACGTCCGCCACCACGGCCCCGGCTCGTCGGCCACGGTCTCCTCCTCGCGGCTCAAGAAGCGGGAGGCCGACCGCAAGGCGCAGCGCATTGCGCGCGAAAAGACAAAGAACCGCATCGCCCACCTCGAGGGCTTGGTCGCGGAGCTGAGCCGCAAGGAGGATAACGCGACGACGGTGGCGCTGATGACGCAGCTGGCGAAGGTCACGGAGCAGAGGAACAGGCTGATGAGCTGCATGGAAGGGGCGTCGGCTTCGTTCGTGAGGCATTTGGCGGAGGTGAAGGAGAGTGAAGATGGGAAGGGGGATGGGAGTGGTAGTGACGGTGTGAGCTTGTTGGAGCCGACGAGTATGGAGTATCTGAGCACGCCTGCTGCGGTTCCCGTCCCGACGACACCCCAGGATCATATCGACGAGAGGCAACCTCATCACCTAGAAAAAGATGTGAACAGCCTCGTGGACGCCTCCGCTCTCGACGTCAGCAACTTCTGGATCGACGAGTCCTTCCCCGTGGACCTCCCAACAGCACCTTCATTACCCAAACTCCCATCACCTGCTCCTCCACCAGCCGCCCCCTCAACCATCAAAGTCCCGGTCAAGTCAGAATGCAGCTGTACCTCAAACTCCCGCACGCGCCGCCTCTCTGACGGCTCCCTCGTGTCCCACAACTGTTGGAAAGCCAGCAACGAGATCCTCAAGGAGCCCTTCCCCCTGACCAAGGCGATGCTCGAGCTAGAGTACCAGGTCAGCGAGGACATCCCCGTCCACGCGGTGCTCCACGGCTGGGACAGCTTGTCCCAGACAGGGCGGATGACGCCGCTGTGGAAGAAGGTGCGGCAGCTTGACGAGCTCTGCTTCGCGGGGTGCGGGTCGCCTGAACGGCTGGCCGTGCTATTCATGATTCACCTCCTGATGCGGGCGTACACGGACCCGACGCCGGCGAAGAGCGAGGTCGTGCCACGATGGTATCTCAAGTCGTAAGTCTGTCGCGAGATTTGTTCTTCTGCTCTCACTGACCGCAAGCAAGACAACTCCAACAACTATCTCCCGAACACGACCCCTCGGCGGACTACTTCACCTGGCCGGCGCTGCGCTACCGCTTCGCGACGACGCCGCACCCGTACTGCCACAACAATACCTTCTGGCACATGTTCCGCGAGCACCTGCGGATCGCCTGGCCATTCGACTTCCGCGATTGCTACGTGCGCAACGTACACCGCGGCACGTATGCCCTCTCGCCGCTCTTCAAGGACCGCCTGCGCGATCTGCGCGCGTGGACGATGGAGCCGGATTTCTTTGCGCAGTATCCCGAGCTCAGGCAGGACGTGCCGCAGTATCCAGGACAGCCGTCGCCGGGGCCGCTGTGTGTGTCGAATAGTGGAGTTGAGGCGTTGATGCAGAGTAGTGGTGTGGCATCTGCGGAAGAGAAGGAGGAGGAGGAGGAGGATGGGAAGGGTGGGAGGAGGCGGGTTGATGAGGACGAGGGGGAGATGTTTATGGGTGATCTTGGGATCGAGACGAATCCGGAATTTCTTCTCTTTCAGGATGCGTTTCTCAATGGCAGCACGGCGAAGGAGTACGGGGTCCAACTTAGCAGGCATAAAGACAGTTCGTGTATATCACTTTAGTATGTACACATCAGATACCAGATACAATTTGATGTTCATGTTCTTCACTTGGTGAGACTTGAAATATGTGGTCTAGGAAGTACAGGAGCGTCACGAACTACACCACTCCCACCTCAAAGCCGCCATCACCTCTTCACAAAGACCCTAGCCCATACTCCTCCTTAATCACATCCGCAACCTTCTCCGCGCTGGCATACGTCGTCGCCGTAGGCCCCGCCGTCAACAACATCGGCCAGTAACTAATATCCACAACCCTCAATCCCTCCACCCCGTACACCCTCATCTTCGGATCCACAACACCCCCTCGTTCCCTCGGCATCATCGCCGCCGTACAGCACTCATGCGCATTCGACGGGGTCATATTCGCCCTCAACAGCGCCTTCAACTCCTCCCGCTCCGTGACGCCCCCAAACGGCGCGCCCACCGCCGGACCAAGCACCTGCATCGCCGGCGCAGTCATCACCTCCCTCGCCTTTTCGAACAGCGCAACCGCAACCTCGAAGTCGACTGGGTCCGCGCCCGTGCGGAAGTCAATCACCGGCTGCGCGAGCGGGTCCGCGGTGCGGATCCGCACGGAGCCGCGGCTGAGCGGCTTGAGGAAGTAGAGCGTCAGACTGGGGCCGGTGCCCCAATGGATCATGCCGATGGGGACTTCCTGGCCCGCGAGCTGGGCGAGAATGAGCTCGCGCTGGAACTTGTAGCCTTCCTGCACGGAAGGGGGTGTTTCCCGGGCGAGGTGGGCGAGGGGGTCGGTCGCGGCGGCGGCGGCGAGGAGGGAAAGGTAGTCGGAGGTGGCGTTGGAGAGGGGCGGAAGGACGAGGTTTGTGCCGAGGGTGCGGATGATGGTATAGGCGCCTTGTTTCGCTGTGTCGTAGAGGGCGCGCTGTTCTACGTCGTAGGTTGCGTTTGTGTCGAGGGATCCTGAGTTGGGGAAGATTTGGTTCGTGACTAGGAGACTGTTAGTCGTGCTGCCTGGTGGCGTCGTGGGAGATTCATCATTTACAGGTGTAAGGAACCTTCAGGTCTGCTTGATCTTGGAAGTTCTCACCGACGCCAGGTAAGTCCTCCACAACCTCAATGCCCAATCCCTCCAAGAACTCCTTGTTCCCGATTCCAGAAAGCTGAAGCAGCTGCGGCGTATGAACCCCCCCAGCAGCAAGCAGCACCTCCTTCGTCGCAAACACGCTGACTTTCTCTCCGCCAGTTGTCGGCAAGTACTCAACCCCGACGGCCCGCTTCCCCTCGAAAAGAACGCGGGACACGGTATGCTCGGCAAGGATATGGTAGTTCGGACGAGCATCTTTGACGCGGGTGTAGTGATTGCGCCGGGCATGGCTACGCGTGCGAGTTGTTGCATCAGCAAGGGTAGGAAAGTTGAAGAGGCCTACGGCCTGGTCACCGGCGAGGGGATCCGGAGACGGCGTGAAGCCACTTTCTAGAGCGGCTTGCCAGAAGTTCGCTGAGCTACATTAGACTGCGATTCCATTACGTATCAAGAAGTGGGGATGAAGTTACCGGCGCCGGGGAAGAAGTAATTTGGATACGAAGCTTGCACGGGGCCGCTGTGGCCGTGGGCTGTGTCGATCCACGAGATGTTCGCGGCGTCGGCGAAGTCTTGCGGGGGTGCCGTGAAGTTTTCACTCTGTGGCGAGGTTAGCTCAGACTTGTCCAGGCCGAGATGAATATCGAAGGGCTAACCTTCTTGAAGTACGGAAAAATGCCATCCCACCCCCACCCCTCAGCGCCCAACCTCTCCCAGGCCGCGTACTCGGCCTTGCCGGCGCGGACGAACACCATGCCATTGACGACGGACCCGCCGCCGACGACTCTCCCGGCAGGAACAAGGAACGAGCGGTTGTTCAGCTCCGTCTGCGGCGCGCTGATCAGATCTGGCCACAGGTATGGCACAGGGTTGAAGGCGCCGGGGACGAGGACGCTGTCTTCATCTTTGTCAAAGGGGCCTGTCTCGATGACGAGGACGTTGACTTTTACAATGTCAGCGATTGATACCGCGTCAACAGGGTGTGAGGGGTTGGCCTACCGTTGGGGTCCTCGGTCAAGCGGTCAGCGACAGTGAGACCGGAGACGCCGCCGCCTGCGATGAGAAAGTCGTATTGTGTGTTGGCGGCGACTTCTCGTGAGGCAACTGTTGCGTGGTGGGGCACGCGAAGGCCGGATACGTGAGATGAGGATGCCAAGAGGACGGCGAGGGCGCCGATGACCGGGTTTCGAGAGCTCGCCATCGTGGTTGTCATGTTTTGATACCCAAGACGTGAAGTTTCCTTCGGACCTGAGGTCGGGAGACTCAACGGCCATTTTGGTTGAATTTATACGCAGTCCCTGCGCATTCGTTTCACAAAACATTCCAGTTTTTTGTTCGAAATCAGCACCGAAGAAGCCTTGCCTCTATGTAGACATGCATATGCCAGTCAGCAGAGGCACGTAGGCGACGTAGCACCGACGCAACTTAGCACGGCATGAGCTGCATGGGAGCCAATCGGAACTGAAGATGGAAGAGCTCAATCTGGGTGATCGCGCGTTTAATTCCAATGTTAAGAGCTCGCTAACCTCGAGGCCAGGCCCAGCCGGCTTGATGCGGGGAGATTAATGCCAGTCAGGAGAGAATGAATGCGTGTCAGCGACAGGTGGATGGGGCACTTGCTTGAGTCCGAGGCTTGGCTACCAACGGCAAATGAAGTTGCAGCAACAACTCTCGACCCTTGATCATCGCTCTGAATATATATGTTCACGAATTGGTGTAGGCTTCCTCGATATTTACGTTGAAAGTAAATGGTATATTAGATTACTAATAAGATCAATTGCCGGTGAGCTTTCTCCAGCGCCTGAGGTAAAGACTGATCCTGAGTCTTTATTCGTCTCCCCCTATTCCATTACTTGCATAACTCATGATTCAATTGCCCCTCTTTATATGAAGAAATTTCT